GCCTCCTAAGTCTCCACTGAACTCAGTGGTGGAAATTCAATTTTTATTTCCAGCTAGAATAGACCCATAGGATGGATTGCTCAATCGATCAATTGAGCAATCGATCTAGCACAGCTAAACTCTGATACTTCAGTAACTTCTATTTTAATAGGGACTACCAAAAGGATAAGGGTCAGGAAGACTGACATGTGACAACATAAAGTCAATAGAAAATGCAGATTTGAGCACTGGGACCAGAAATGCCAGTACAGTACTCTGTACTCAGCCTGCCAGTCACCCCCCATACGCTGAGTGAGTACAGAGGAGACAGAAAGAGCTGGAGGGTTCTGGGAGATGCAGTCGGAACAAGGAACTTTCTTCATCTCTAGTTGGGAGATGGGTGCCTGAATCTGCAGGTTCAAAAGATCGCAAACTTTCGGTGCGTGGCGCATGCACCTTTTAAAACTTATTTATATGTTTATTTTTGCCATCACACGCTTCGAGCAAGAGGACAGAGGCGCCTGAGGCCAGCTGGCTCATTTCCAACAACAAGCGACAGGCGGCGCCCTTCGCCCAAAGTTTTCATGCCAGAGGCTTCCTTTCTCCCCCCCTCCCCATCTCGGCGCTTCCACCGTATGTAGATACTCGCCTCCCGCGAAGATGATGATCGGTCCCTTTGGTTTTGCATGGAAGCGTCGCTTTTGCCGGCTTTGAAAAGCGGCCCTGACTCGATTACGCGGAACCTTGATTGGCAAAGAGAAAAGGCCCGGGGCGTTTGGTCGGAGTGACTCCTTTGCTTTTTGCCTCTCCGAGCCAGAATCATCTCCGCAGCCGGGGAACGGGAGGAGGCATCCCTTGCCCCGAGTTTCCCCATGCCCACGTGTCTCTGAGGGACCCTTCTCCTTAGGTGTGTAGGCAGCTGCACGTCTGTATTGTCGTAGGTACAGTATTAAAGGCAGGCGCTGGGGTCTGGAGGAGGAGGGAGGGAGGGAGGACAGCTGTTCATTGCCGGGCACGCCAGAGAGAAGCAAGTAAGAAGGTGACGTGAACTGCCTTCCACCCCAAATCCACTGAAGGCGTGGAACTCCGGGCGCAACTCTGCGCTTGGCTACTCAGATGTTTCGCCCCATCGACTTCAATGGGGCTGATTTGCAAGTCAGTGTGCAATCTGTTGCGCTTTTATTCGGAAATAAGCCTCACTGGCGTGCAGGGAAACGGCTTGTCCTGGTGAGGCTGGAAGAAAGTCCCATCCAGCTCAGTGGGACTTCCTTCTTCGCAAAACCGGCTTTGGATGCCGCGGCGCCGGTGTTTGGAAATCGGAACCGGGAGAGAAGGCGCAAACCCGCTCCCTCCCGCTCGAAGGGGACGGAAAGGCCCCAGCAGGAATTCCCGCTCAAGCGCTTCATTTCCGATTCCCCAGACCTTTGGCTTGCCTCCGAGCGGGAGCGAGCGCGCGCGCGCACAAACACACACACACACAGATGGAGGCGTGCGTGGGTATCCGGAGAGCGGGTTCCAAAATACCTCAGGAAGCCCACTGTGCAAAAACGGCCTACTTCATCATCATCATCACCAGTCACGATGATGATGGTGCACCAGCCCGACGAGCCTTAGGGTACACGAGGGAGGTTTTCCGGAGCTGGGGCTGGCGTTCAGTTTAGGCTACCCGCTCGCCGTTTGTTATTATTATGGCTGGTGGGAAAACATGTTGTTTACGGGGAGGGCGGGGACGCGGCCGCGTGCAGAGGAGCTGAAGATGCAGCAAGCTTTCTTTCTTTCTTTCTTTCTTTCTTTCTTTCTTTCTCACGTAAGGGCGAAAGCTCTCCGCGGGCTTGTTCCGCCTTCCGCGAGCGCTCGGCCGGCTTGGTCTGCCTCCGAGGAGGAGGTCCGCCCCCCCTCCCCCCGTTTCGTCGCTGCCCGGGTTGAGGGCACGATCCCCACTGGCAGCGCCAGGTGCAAACGTCGCCTCAGCAGCCACTCTCCCCCTCCTCCTCCCCCTCGCTCCGCCTCGCCGCCGCCCTCGCCCTTGGGGGAGCCGGCCGCTCCCGCGGGCGCGTGAGGAGTCCCCTCTCTTGACGCGAAAGGGGCCGAAGCCAGGCTCCCTGCTCCCCACCCCCACCCCCACCCCCCACGCGGGGCTGAAAAGGACGGGCGCGGAGCTGCTGGTGGGGAAAAGCGGAGCGAGTTGTTCCCTAGCCAGGGACTCCGCCCCCTCCCCCCAAATGGCAAACCCTCCGCCGAGGCAGCGGCGAGCAACCCAGGGCACGTTCCCGGGATACCGACGACAAGCCAAGAAGGCGCGGGCAAGGCGCCGGGCAGCCGCCGGCCCTTCCTCTCGCTGCTCTTCCGGAAGCGTGTCCCTCCGGCCCTTTTTGCCTCGTGCTTTCTGGACTGCGCCCCATCCAGAAGGCCAGGTCCACGCCCGGCGCAAGGAGAAGGGCCCGCTGAAGGAATGCCTCGGGAGGGCCCGCTTGACTCGTGGCCAGGCCTTGGGCTTCCTTCACACCATCTCCACGCCCACTGGCTGCTCTCCTCCCCGCGGGCTCCTTACCCTGCGGCCCTCCTCGTTTCTGTGGTTCGCCTGCGCAGGCTGCTGCCGCTGCCTCGGGAGTCCCGTCCACAAGCCGGGAGGAACAGAGGAGAAGGGGGAGGGGATGCTTTCCAGGATGCTCATGCAGGCGGAGTCCCATTTCGTCCCGTTTTGCGGGGCCCTCTTCGGAAATAGAGCGCGGGGAAGAGGCAGAGGCAGGGAGCGCCCTTGCTCCTTGGGGAGATCCTCATGCTTTCTTTGCTCTTCTCTTTACCTACATGCACGTCTTCCCACACTGATCTCGTCCTCGGCGCCCACCTATGTGTAACCTGGGCCAGGACAAGCTCGCTACCTTTCTGCAGTGGGTGGGCATCACGTAGGGGGTCCCCCTAGCTAGGCAAGCTCTACTTTCCGAGTTCTTATTAACGACCCGTTACTGTAGTTGCGATAGGCATAATTGCTGTTAGGTGCTGTCAAGTCGGACCAACTTATAGCGACCCTAGTAGGGCTTTCAATGTAAATGAGATATTCAATGAGTGGTTTCACCAGTTCCACTCCCCCAGTGAGTTCCCATGGCTGAGCGGGGATTCTCCAGAGCCCTAGCCCCTCACTCTAACCACTACACCGGGCACCAGGCATAAGAGATATAAGCATTTACTGTATCTGTTAAGGATTGAGATGGGCAAAATTCAGCCTTGGGAAATCTGCTCTACACTAAATCTAGTTAATAATCTTAACTAGGAAAGACCCACTGACTCAGTTGTTGAAAGGTGAGTCAGCAGTTGCGTAAATCCAATTGAATGAATGAGCCTGTTCCAGCTGAGACTGTTCACTGGATTCAGGACAGTGTTTTGACTTGAACCTCAAGTCTACTAACCCTTCTGCTGGTGCAGAAGAAATATACAGTACTGTATTTAGGAGAAGAGAAGTCTGAACTGAGGAATTCGTACCCAATAACAAGGCTGGGAAAATTCACTGCCCTTCAGAACCAACAAAAAGCAATTTCAAGTTAGGCCAAGGATTCCTGGGCTCAGCAAGATAAATTTGGATTCGGGTGGTGGTCATTTTTCTAATGTGGAAATCTTTGCATCAGATAAGTTGATTTACGGAGGTAGTGGAAGGGATAGAAATCTTTATTTCATCCACAGGACCAACAACAAAAAAGAGGAAACAAAAGAGAAACAGAGAAGGAAAATGCGGCCACCACAATTTATAAGGCAGATCCCAACAGAAAACAACCGAACAATAATTCATCAAGAGGTTTAACTCTTGTATCTCCTGAGTTCTTATCTCCTGAGCCTGCATGGCCACCCAGAGTTTGCTTCTGTAAATGACCACTGTTCAGGCAATGTTCCTTGTTTGCTTTGCATTTCTGCTCCTTCTCACATTACAAGCCCCCATCTCTAGTATTCATCTAGCCCTTAATCTCTCTCTCTCTCTCTGCTTTATTCCTGGATTATACAAAGACTTGATCCCCATAGATATGTGAAACTGCTTATCTGTGGCAGGATGCTTTTGTCATTTCCCAATGACTACTTTTCAAAAGGTCTATACTGATCATGCCAATTTGTAGCTTTTTGCTGGTCTATTCCACCCCCATCATCACAAACATACGTACTTATCTGCCTACTCACATAACAGTCCATGCATCTGATGGTGTAGGCTGCAGTCCCTAAAACCTGCTGCTGGAGAACACAGGCTCATTCTTCTAGGTGCTCAAAGATTTGTTCTTGTTTTTGATACTGCAGACTAAGACTACCAGAGTTGTCCCACTTGAAATGTTTGTAACAATTCCCAGCCTGTTTGCCACAGAATGTTGTTTCTGATTTTATGATGGGAAGCTGAGGCCCAGGGACAGTGATCAGCCTAACTAGCAGGGAACTGCTGGCTGAAAGGGGATTTGAACTCGGCTCTCAGTTTCCTACACACCCACTGCGTGTTCAGAATGTGGAGGGTGAGAGGTGGTAGTTCATTTACAAAGCCCTATAGCGTCCCTGAGTGTTCCCTGCAAGGACAGATCCTGAAGCTGAGGCTCCAATACTTTGGCCATCTCATGAGAAGAGAAGACTCCCTAGAAAAGACCCAGATGTTGGGAAAGTGTGAAGGCAAGAGGAGAAAGGGACGACAGAGGACGAGATGGCTGGACAGTGTCTGCGAAGCAACCAACATGAATTTAACCCAACTCCGGGAGGCAGTGGAAGACAGGAGGGCCTGGCATGCTCTGGTCCATGGGGTCACGAAGAGTCGGACGTGACTTAACGACAACAACAACATAGCGTCCCCACACACTATAGTTCAAAGTAGATGAGATAGCACTGGCACATTCTTCGGGCCAAAGTGGAGAACCTATTACACATGATTCTACTCCAGCTCTCACCATCCCTGAGCATCGGACATACTGTCCGGGGCAGATGGGAACTGGAGTCTTAACACATCTGTAGGGCCGGCTCTTCTTAGCCCCAGGCAGTAAGGGCCTTGAAACTCTAGGGAAATGCGGCTAGCCCGAGGCTACCTCCCTTTAGCTGAGCAGGAGCTTCCACCCAAGACGCCGCGGCTGAGTCAGGTGAGCTCCTCTCATCCCAGCCGCCGCAACACTTCCGAACAGGGTGGTGGCTGGCTCGTTTGTTTGCCTTGCGACTAACTTGACGCTTCCTGTTCTCTGGAAATCAATGTCTTCATTGAATTAAACCCCCGGCCGTAACTTGCACTCCCGTCCTCTCTCTCTCTCTCTCTCTCTCTCTCTCTCTCTCTCTCTCTCTCTCTGTGTGTGTGTGTGTGCGTGTGTTTACGGCGGGCGGGCGGGGCTGGGTGTTTGGGTGGGCGTAGGCTAAAGGAGCCCGCATTAATATTTCCACATCAGGAAGTTCCTGGGGCAGCCCGCGGGCAAAAAAGCTTAATCTCCTCCACAGCACGGAGCCTGTGGCGCCTGGCCTGTTATAGGTTGGCGTTCCCACGTGGTTTGAACTTCGGTATAAAAGTTTCCGAGAGAAAAGTGGCCCAATGTTGTGATTTGGCAGGTCGAAAAACAGAGCGAGGGGAGAGCAGGGGGCAGAGAGAAAGAGAGGGAGAGAGAGAGAGAAAGAAAGAAAGAAAAGGCGAAAACGCGCCCGGAGATTAGAGGCAGATAAGCGAGAGGAACCAGGGCGCTCTTCCAAGCGCGACCTTCTGCTGCTGGGCCAAGGGAGGCGGCACGTCAGGTTCAGCCGCCGAAGAACAGCGGGATTCAAACACAAGGCACAGGCGAAGAAGAGCTGCCCCCGGAGGCGGGCAGCGCGGTGGCTCTGCCTTGACTCGCGAGACAGCCCCGTGCCAAGCGGCAAGCCTGCCCGGTGCAAGGGCGAGCCGTCCGAGCGGCCCTTCTGGCTTAAGCTTCCCGGAGCTCTTTCTTTGCCGGCTTGTTCGCGGGGCGCTCCTCCTGCCTTCTCGTGCCTCTCTCTCCCCCGCCCTCGCCCGCCGCGCTTTCATGTGGACACCTGCCCGGACACGGGGTCCCCAGGAAGGGTCCCCCTCGGCTGGACTGTAGCCCCACTTTGACCACCGCACGCCCGAGGGGGGCAAGAAGGTGGAGGCAAGGGAGCCGCGGTCTCTCCCCAGGATCTGACTGGATCGCGGCTCGG